TCAGACTTAATACTGTTTTATAATCAATCAAAACAATACCGTCGAATACGAAAATAGCGCTTGCTGCTGCTGCTGCTGCTACTACTACTACTACTACTACTACTACTACTACTACTACTACCACCGCCACCACAAGGACAACAACAACAACAACAACAACAACTACAACTACAATAACAACTACAACTACAACTACAACAACAACAACAACTACAACTACAACTACAACAACAACAACAACTACTACTACTACCACCACTACTCCCACTACTACCACTACTACCACTACTACTACTACTACTACTACCACCACCACTACTGCTACTGCTACGGCTACTGCTATTGCTACTGCTACTACTACTGCTACTGCTACTTCTGCTATGACTACTACTACTACTACTACTACTTCTACTACTACTACGACTACTACTACGACGACGACTACTACTACTAGCTACTGTGTTGATGTTGGAACCTAATACACCCAACCCGCAGCATCACCCTATTGCCATAAATGCTGCCGCTCTGCCACGCCTGGAGCTCCTCCACGACGAAACGTTGCAGCTCAACCCTGGGGTCGTTTGGCTGAAAGCACTCGTTTCACAGGATTCAGGTGCTCAAATTTCAGATTTGATGTTTGAAATCTTGGGAGTTGTTGGGTTAGCTCTTGGGGCTCTTAGAGGGGCAGATTGGCCTCTTGTACGGGAATCGCGATGCAGGGATGGTACCAGTGCTGGCTAGGTAGCAGACTTTTGAGGGCATAGGTCAAGCACTCGAAAGTTCTTGGGGGTTCAAAGCCTTTCCATCACTTTTCGAGATTTTCCAGGTAGTCGAGCTTGTGTACGGAAAAAGAATGTGTAAAGAACTGGGGACACATCATCTGCTTAGTGGGGACGCTGGCGCAGGCTGCTGTCACAAAGGTCTGCAGGACCAAGCGACAACAGCTTATTAGCACTTCAGAATGCCACAGCGACCGTACTTTGCTGCCTCTTGGATATATCATGCTTTCAGTGACCGCAAGCAGGGACCCGTTCAATTTTGACCCACAAAATCGAAGCAGGTGCAGAGACTTGCAAAAGCAAGACTCGTGAACACATGGACTCCTTCATATATGCAGGACCGGTTAGCCCAACACTTCAAAACTCCGCTGTCATCGTTCTCGATGCCAATGCCCTTTCTGCAATGACTATGTTTGTTCCCGCTTGAACTGATCGCTTCCCCTAAAAAATTGCATGCTCCTCTCATCGCAGAGAATCCCAATTACAAAAAATCCAAGAAAACGACTTTGAAAAGGAGACAAAAGGGCCAAGAGTACGTTTTAAAAGGGACCGGTATAATGAATTGAGGGGGGGTTCTGAAGTCATTAGACGGGTTGTAGTCGGGATCCGCGTGATCTTCAGGGTTTTTACCGTTTTCATATATACATCTTTTCTCCAGTCATTTATATAAGATCTGAATGCGAGTTTGATTGATTTTCTGACGCTTTTAAGATTTCTTAATTCTTTTCAGATTAGATTCAGACGGACTTACAGTAGGTTTTACATAGGTTTGAATAGGTTGTCTCACGAATTTATGCAGGATGAATTTAGAGAGTAAGTTGATGCGAA